ACACCGAAAGATTGACTACTCTTCGCGAGAAAATCAAGAAGGATAAAACTAAAAGATTGACCCATCTTCACTATAAAGTTAAAGAATACAACACTGAAATATTGACTCCTCTTCACAAGAAAGTCAAGAATAATAATAATGAGAGACTAAATTCTCTTCACGAGAAAGTTAATAATAACATTGAACGATTGACTCCTCTTCAGGAGGTAGTCAAGAATAACATTGAAAGATTGACTCCCCTTCATGAGGGACTCAAGAATAAAAAAAATTGACTTCTTTTCATGAGGAAGTCAAGAATAACATTGAAAGATTGACACCTCTTCGCGAGGGAGTCAGGAATAACAAAGATTGACTTCTCTTCACGAGGAAGTCAAGAATAAAAAAGATCGACTTCTCTTTACGAGGACGTCGGTAATAACATTGAAAGATTGACTCCTCTTCAAGAGGGAGTCAAGAATAACAAAGATTGACTTCTCTTCACGAGGAAGTCAAGAATAACAAAGATCAACTTCTCTTCACGAGGAAGTCAAGAATAACAAAGATCGACTTCGCTTCACGAGGAAGTCAAGAATAACAAAGATCAACTTCTCTTCACGAGGAAGTCAAGAATAACAAAGATCGACTTCTCTTCACGAGGAAGTCAAGAATAACAAAGACCGACTTCTCTTCACGAGGAAGTCAAGAATAATAAAGATCGACTTCTCTTCACGAGGAAGTTAAGAATAACAAAGATCGACTTCTCTTCACGAGGAAGTCAAGAATAACAAAGATCGACTTCTCTTCACGAGGAAGTCAAGAATAATAAAGATGTTTTTCCTTATTATTTTTAGAAATTGCTTAGGTTTGAAACTAGGTAAATAATTTTTTAGTCCCTATACTTTTAGAGCATATTTACATTTTGGTCCCTATTTCCTCTTTTGTTTATTGCATTTGAAATGAACCTCTACTTTCATTTTATTTTAATTTAGTCACCATGCATGCTATTCTATTTATTTTGAAATTTGACACTGATTTTTTTATTCTGTTTCATTCTAGCCACTGACTGATTCTGTTTCTTTATTTATGAATCTGACATTGTAGTTTCAATTTATGCATTTTAGTCAATGTTTATTTCTCATTTGGTACTACTTTTCTTATTTGTTGCATTTTGGTCCTTGTATTTTAATATACATGTATGTTTCATATTCTTATGTATTTTATGTATATGCACCATATATATGTATTTATTTAAAATGTCTTTATATTTAATAGTAATTTTCAACATTTACTCGTATATTTTCAAGTTTGTTATTTTGAGCTTAGTATTTTATATCTATCGATTTTGGCCCTAGTTAGCTCATTATTATATTTGTTAATATTTATGATCCGTGCTTCAATTTTTTGTCGACTTATATTTTGGTCCTTTGTTAGTTGAAGATATTTATTTATCTTATTCAAGTTGAACATGTTTTTACTGTCGATTTAGTCCTAAGATAAATTTTTATTTGATTATTCAATTTATTTGATGTTCGATTACACATTTATATTTGTATTCGATTTAATCCATGTTTGACAATTTTCTTTTTTCTTTTTAATTTTGAATTGCTATTTTTGCATAGGTTTATTTAATATATTTTGACACTTATATATGCGCATATTTATTTATATATTTCAAATTATTATAGTTCCTTTGCATATTTAAATATGTATTTATTTTTAGAATTTAATTTTTACTCCTTTATTTGTTATCACGCGAATGTTTTTCAAGAACATCAATTTGTAGAATGGGCATAGAAAGCATTGTTTGATTGAAGTAGTGCGATCCAATACGACATTCGAACAAAATGTGAACTTGAAATAAATCGATTTTATTTTGCTAATTAATTCATTTTTATTTTAAGTTGAACAATGCAATGCATGGTTCTGTAAATAACAAGTTATTTTGTCATATGCAAAATGTCAATTTTTAATTTATATTCGATTTGTGTTTTTAACATCAAAGAGGGAATATTTTTTAAGAAAGAAATAAGAAGAGATAGCCTACTCGTCAGAGGATGAGCGAATCTCGATATTTCTTTTCAAATTAAAGAATTTTCTCTAATAAATAATTTGAAATAAATTAATCAATGTTTAATGCATGTATCATAATTTAACTTTATATTCGATGTATAATTTCCACTACTACGACAATATGTAAGCGATTGAGTACCAATTTTGGGCGCTGTGGGGTGTCAATCCTTCCCCACGCATAACTGACTTACGGACCGTTAAATTAGATTTTTGGTACACGTAGACTAACTATTGATTTTAAAAAAAGATTTTTCTTAAAATTGTTTTAAAAGATGTTTTTAGGTATTCGACTTACCTAACTTAAAGGTCGATAGCGACTCCTATTCAATTTAATACAAAATCGTCAATTTTTTCAAATAAAAGTCATAATTGTTTTTTAAATAATATAAAATTGTTTTTTTAAATGGTTATTACAAAAAGAATTTCAGATTAACTAATAATGATTGATGTGTTTTTATTGGGATTTGATTTAGAATTAATTTACACAAATCCTCAGCGATAATCACGGCATGTTCAGAGCAAAATTGTTGTCTGTTGACATTATAGGATCATATCAAAAGGTAAGTTCATACACATGATTATAAGAATATTATGTTTTATTATTATTTTTTGTAATACACATATTCAAGTATAGGGGTCGGTTATTTTTTATTGAAAATTTGGGTTTATATCAGCAGATCTTATTTGACTTAAAAATGCTGAGTAAATCCAACATGCTTATACTGCTGATACCAGGCAATGGGGGGTCTTGAGAGTTAGGGCAGAGTGAAAGCTGCAACAAATACACAAAAGCTGCATTAGAATATTCAAACCAACACCATAAAAGGAGTAAATGTACTGCAAAATGTGAATTGTACCTCCACACTGGTAACCAATAGGGCGATCAACAATGTTGCAACGTTTCGGAATGGTCACCGCAATTTCCGGCCTCACTCCCACATTGTATATGCTGTTTGAGAATAAAGAACAGCGCATAGGCAGGCTGGATTTTCTCCATTTCGGTGCAGCAACACTCGGAAACCGGGACTCTCCGATGCCGTGCTGCGTATGTACATGGTTCCAACTTCTCGGCCTCCTTCTCGATGTCGTGTTTCCCACAGGGACCATAATAATAAGCAGTTCCCTCCACTCCATTGAGCCCTGCAATGGTCATACTCACAAGAAACGTGAGAACGCACACGTACTTCACTGGGGTTTCCATTCTCACAAAGCAATTCAGGGACACTTTTGATCTACAAATGGAACTTGAACGAAGACGTACTTGTCAACAACTTGAGCTCAAACGAAGATGGAACTCAGCTATTTATACCAAAATCAAGTAGCCAAATGAATATGAATTCCACCGGTTACAATGGACTAATTGAAAGAAGGGACAAATTGAAACAGACCACCCAGCATTACCATATAAATGCATAGTCTATCAATCGCCTACATTGCTTACTCATCGTTTTTGGCCTTTTTTTAAATAAACAATTGTGTTTTTCAATTTGTTTCTGTGGGATCCATCTTTGGGGTCATTTTCATACCTCCATCAGCTGTTTAAGACCTCTCTTTTTTCCCTTTTTTTCTCATTTTTTTAATAGAATCTAACTATAAATTGTGTAAATCATGCTTATCAATTGTGTTGAAGTTTGTATCATATAATAATATTTAAGTTTGTATCATATAATAATAGAAAAAAATATAATAGATAGGAGCATGAAACATGTTCAGAAGGTATTGGAGTTGCAAAATCTTTTTTACCATTTTGCTGACATCTTTTTTCTCAAATTAAAACTTTAATTAGATTTTGAGTATAATTTTACAATGTTGCTTTGCATTAATTATGGTGTTGCAGCATTAGAGAAACTCTATATATCTTATATGGTGTTGTAATGGTTGAAGCATAAGCTCAAAGGCAAGTGTTGGGTATTTGTTTTACATAGGAATCAGAATCACATTCAAGATATTAGGCCTGACTCTTCTGTTTTCACAAATCAACATATTCCTAAGCAGGACACTGTGAAACTTGCTGAAAGTTCATATATTCTCTGGAAACATCAGATTGAATTGATTATTGATGGTTATGGACTATAGCACATATCTGATGATTTTGTTGCTAGTTGCTACACCACTCGTGTTATATGGGGAACAAAACAATAATTGTTTGTTTGGAACTCGTTCCAGTGCAAAGATCTCGGCCCTACACTATAGTCTGCGCTCTCAAAAGAAATAAGGTTTGACTATTACAGAATTTCTGGCTAAGATAAAGTTGTGTGACACTAACAGAAATGTTTCTTGATTGAGAATCTCTTAGACACGTGATAATAAAACAAGGGGAAACGTAATGTGAAGAAAGTGATGAAATAAGTGTTCAAGGTGGTCGACATGGTGGAAGTTCAGTTTCAGTACCTGCAAGTGCATCTACACCATATCATCACTGATTATGCCAAACTTCATTTAAGTGCATCTTCACTACTCATGGGCTTTGGTGACAGTATTAGAATTTTTCATGTTGGTCTGGGCTCCCTTAATACTCATTTTAAGCCTTTGTTCTTGTAAAATTTACTACATATTCCTGATATAAAGAAGAATCTTCTTTTTGTGTCTCAACTTGCTCGGATTCATCTTTACGGATGTTTTGTTAAGGATTCACAGATCTAGAGAGTCCTGCTGGAAGGGAAGCTCACTCATGAGGGCTCTACTAGCTAGTACCTCCAATTATTTCTTCTAAAAGTCTGTAATATTTTTAAGTGTTATAAAGACAATCCTTAAGTCTTGTAATATACCCATTGATGAGAATAAAGTGTCACAAACTACCATTCTCAATGTCCACTACAGCAGTCTTCTTGATAAATAGATTACCTACAAATGTTAGAATTGACATATCCAGTTCAACTACTTGATTATTAGTCTGTTCACAGCATAGATTTGGGGGGAAAATGGTCATCAAGAAACAAGAAGCACACATCTTGCAAATATAAGGGACCTTTTATTTAGTATTATTCAAAGAAACACCACCACTTTTTACTTGTTATTGAAAGATACATCAACAGATTTTATTTAAGTTAAGAATGCTGGATGTCATAGCGAATCCAGCATCCTGATACTACGTAATGGGGAGTCTTCAGAGTTAAGGCAGAGTGAAATCTGCAAGAAACAAACAATAGCTTCATTAGAGTATTGAAACAAACACTATACAAGGAGTAAAGGTGATGCGAAATGCCAATTTTACCTCCACACTGGTAACCAACAGGGCGATCAGCTATGTTGCACCGTTTTGGAATGGTCACTGCGATTTCCGGCCTCACCCCCGCGTCGTATGCTGTTTGAGAATACAGAACAGCGCACAGGCAGGCTGGATTCTTCACCTTTTTCTCCATCACAGTGCAGCAACGCTCGGAAACCGGACTTCTCCGATGCTGTGCTGCGTATGTACACGGTTCCAACTTCTCAGCCTCCTTCTGGATGTCATGCTTCCCACATGGACCATAATAATTAGCAGTTCCCTCGACTCCATTGAGCCCTGCAATGGTCATACTCATAAGAATCACGAGAACGCACATGTACTTCAGTGGAGTTTCCATTTCCACAAACCAATTCAGGGATACTTTTGATGTACAACTTGAACTCTATCGAAGATATTCTTGTGAAAAACTTGAACTCAAACGAAGATGGTCCTCAGCTATTTATAGTGAGAAAATAAAGAAGTAAAAAGTAGGCAAATGAATATGAATTCCGCCGTTTACAAATACAAGGGACATGGAACTAGAGAAAGAGTGTTTGGTGAGGTGCAGTATCTGTATTGAAGAACATGTATTTTGAGTCAACTGAACATATTAAGTCTAGGTTACAGACATCTTGTTTCACTGTGTTATCTTTATTTAACCAACCTAATTAAACTGATCCACAGTTTAAGCGCCCATACCAACTAGAATCAAGCGGCGCAAGCTCAGGTCAATAACAATCGAAAGAGAGAATTTGAAACTGAGCACCTAGCATTACCTTTTAAATGCATGGTCTATCAATTGCCAGTTCGTCGTTCTTTTACTCTTTTTTTAATATAAAAATTTGTGTTTTTCAATTTGTTTCTGTGGGATCCATCTTTGGGAGTATTTTCACACCTCCATCAGCTGTAAAAGACCTATCTTCTTTCCCTTTTCCCCTCGTTTTTTTAAAAATAATTTTATTGTGCTTCAGTTCGTGTAAATAGGTATACATTACAATGGACGGATACAAATAAGGAATACGAGTATAACACGACAAGCATGTGAAACAATAATTTTCAATAGGCTTAAACGTAAAAAAGGTGTTTAATGTATATTTTTTTTCAGTTTGTTACTTAACTTTTTTTTGTTTTAATTTAGTACTTAAAGTTTCATTCTGTAATTTAGTTTGAATCAGGTCGTGACAGATTGTTAATTTCGATGGTTAAATGCCATATGACATGTTTTTTAATATTTAAAAATAAAAAGTTAATTAAAATAAAAAATAGACCTAAACATAAAAAAGTGATGACTGTATGTTTTTTTTTAATTTGGTGTCTTGGTTTTTAACATTTCATTCCGTAACTCAATTTAAATCAGATCGTAAAAGACCATTTATTTCGACTGTTAAATGTCACCTGACATATTTTTTTAATATTTAAAAATAATTTTTGAAAATAAAAAATAAATTAAAATAAAAAATAATTTCTTTCTCTTTCTCCTTTTTCTTTCCCCTTTCTCTTCCCCATTACCATTTCCTCTCTTCACCGAAGGCAGCAAATCTGGAGCTTAAGCTGGAAATCGAAGCGGCATTGTATCCCCGTCGATCACTTTTACAATGAGGGTGGTGTCATAACCATTTTTTTGAAAAACATTTAAGTTTAAAATAATTATGACTTTATTTGAAAGTTTTGAGTAGGAGTCGTCATCGGCCTTTGGGCTAGATAGGTCGAATACCCAAAAACGTCTATTAAAACAATTTTAAGGAAAAATCGTTTTTAAGACAAAAATTGGTCCACGTTTACCAAAAACTCGACTTAATGGATCCGGGAGTCGGTTACGTGTGGGAAAAGATAAGTACCCCCATCACGCCCAAAATTGGTACTTAATCGCTTACACATTTTCGTAAATGATGGAAATCATAAATCGAATACATAGTTAGAATGTGATCCATTTATTAAAGTTTAGTTAATTTGCTTCGAATTATTTATTAGGGAAAATCCTTTAATTCGAAAAGAAATATCGAGATTAGCTCATCCTCTGACAGCAAGACTATCTCTTCTTATTTCTTTCTTAAAAGAATACTCCCTCATTGATTTTAAAAAATTACAAGTCAAATATAAATTGAGCATCGATATTTATATAAAATAAAATAAGTTGATATTTAGAGAAACATGCATTGACTTAAAATGAAATAATAAAAAATGAATTAATTAACAAAAATAAAATCAATTTATTTCAAGTTCATATTTTATTCAAACATCGTATCGGATTACACCACTTCGATCAAGCGGTGCTTTCCACGCCCATTCTACAAATAAAGTTCTTGGAAATATTCGAGTATGACAAACGTTTAAAATTAGCAAATAAAACGAGCTTTTTGTAGTCTTTGAAAAATATTGAATCTAAAGAAACGAAACATACACATGTATATATAGAGAGAGGTACTAAAACAATCAATGTATACACATCTACTAATATTGCAACATTAATATTTACTACTTATAAAAATATGAAAATAATTATATAAGATGCAAAGCAATCGTACATAAGAATAAATAATAAATAATACACATACATATATATATATATATATAACCAATGAAAATAAACACAAAACATGTCATACAACCATTTCAAGTATTAAAAAAACTAAAATCGAAACACTGAGGATTAAATAGGCAATAACTGTTGAAAATAAGTGGCATCACCGAAATTAAACCAAATTTTCGGTGGAAATTATTTGGTGGCAGCATTTGTTGACATTTAGAAAGGGCTCCAGAAATTGTTGATTTTTTCAACAATGGTAGAACCTCAATTTTAGTCATTGTAAGTTAGGATATTTACAAATTAGTCCTTAAGCTTCAACTATAAATACCCTAGCTCATTTAGCTTCAAAACCATCCTAAAGCATTCTAGCTTTCTTCCAATACTAGAGAGAATTTAGAGAGTTTATTGAGAGTTGTTTTCTCCTTTTTATCAAGAGAGAATTATCATTGTTTTCTCCTTGGTAGATCGAGAGAAGTTGTAATTCCTATTTTCTCATAGTGAAATTCTTCTACCGTTGTCCGTGGTTTTTACCCTATATTATTTAGGGGTTTTTCACGTAAATTTTGTGTCTCTTTTATCTTCATTTTTATTTTCTCAAATTATCAGTTGCGATTTTGCTCTATCCGATAGCCATCTTCCGCAACAATTGGTATCCGAGCCAGATTTGAGTGTGTAATATCTGCTTATTGTCTTTGTGGTTGCCACCAAAAGGTGGATCCTCCAACATAAGAAAGTAAGAAGTTATTACCCATTCTTTGAAGGTTCCAGAGAACTATTCACGATAGTGAAATAGTGGGAGCTATCCGTAAAAGAAGCTATGGCAACGAAATTTGATATTGAAAAATTCAATGGGAGAAATTTCTCATTGTGGAAATTGAAGATGAAGGCCATCCTGAGAAAAGATGGTTGTCTAGCAGCTATCAGTAAAAGGCCGGTGGATTTCATAGATGACAACAAATGGATCGAAATGGACGGGAATGATATGGCAAACTTTCATCTAGCATTAGCAGATGAAGTATTGTCAAGCATCGAGGAGAAGAAGACATCTAAGGAGATATGGGATCATCTCACCAAACTGTACGAGGCCACATCGCTGCACAATAAAATTTTCCTTAAGAGAAAATTGTACACTCTCCGTATGCCAGAATCTACTTCAGTGACGGAGCACTTAAATACACTGAACACTTTATTTTCTCAGCTTACATCTTTAAGCTATAAAATAGGAGAACAAGAACGTGATGAACTTCTACTTCAAAGTCTACCGGATTCGTATGATCAACTCATCATAAACTTGACAAACAGTAATGTCACCAGTCTAGTCTTCGATGACGTTGCAGCTGCTGTTCTCCAAGAAGAAAATCAGCACAAGAACAAGGAAGACAGACAAGTAAATCTGCAACAAGTAGAAGCGTTGACAACGATGAGAGGGAGATCAACAGAACGTGGCCAAAGCAGCAGTCACAAACATGGTAGATCGAAGTCGATGAGCAAAAAGAATTTAAAGTGCTACAATTGTGGAAAGAAGGGTCACTTGAAGAAGGATTGTTGGAGTCTAAATAAAAACTCCAATCCATAAGGCAATACCGCAAACACTTCAGATGATGGAGATGCTCTATGCTGTGAAGCGTCAACCACCGTGGAAGGTAGAAAGAGATATAAAGATATATGGCTCATTGATTCGGGAGCAACATATCACATGACCTCAAGAAGAGAATGGTTCCATCATTATGAACCTGTCTCAGGAGGATCTGTGTATAGTTGCAATGATCATGCCTTAGAGATCGTTGGCGTGGGAACCATCAAATTGAAGATGTATGATGGAACAATTAAAGTTGTTCGAGATGTGCGGCACGTGAAAGGCCTGAAGAAAAATTTATTATCCTACGGATTATTGGATAATAATGCAAGCAAGATTGAAACACAGAAAGGAATCATGAAGGTGTTCCGTGGAGCGCTTGTGGTGCTGAAAGGCGAAAAGATAGCAGCAAACTTGTACATGTTGAAGGGAGTGACTTTGCTAGAAGCAGAAGCCTCTGTTGCCTCATGTAGTTCAGATTCGACAATGCTATGGTATCAGGAACTTGGACACATGTCAGAACAAGGAGTGAAAGTCCTTGTGGAGCAAAAGCTACTTCCAGGCTTAACAAAGGTATCACTTACCTTGTGTGAGCATTGCATAACAAGTAAACAGCACCGGTTGAAATTCAACACATCAAATTCTAGAGGCAAAAGTGTTCTAAAATTGGTTCACTTTGACGTATGGCAAGCACCGGTTACATCCCTAGGCGGAGCAAAATACTTTGTCTCATTTATTGATGACTACTCTAGGAGATGCTGGGTGTACCCTATTAAGAAGAAGTCATATGTGTTTTCAACTTTCAAAAACTTCAAAGCGCGGGTGGAACTTGATTCTGGAAATAAGATCAAGTGTTTCAGAACAGATAATGGAGGAGAATACACAAGCGAAGAATTTGATGACTTTTGTAGGAAAGAAGACATCAAAAGACAGTTCACAGTGGCAAACACTCCTCAACAAAATAGAGTGGCAGAGCGGATGAACAGAACCTTGTTAGAAAGAACAAGAGCAGTGTTGAGGGATGCAGGCCTAGAAAAATCATTATGGGAAGAAGCAGTCAATACCGCCTGTTATTTGGTGAATCGAGCTCCATCAACTGCAATAGAGCTGAAGACACCAATGGAGATGTGGACTGGAAAACCAGCTGATTATTCAAACCTCCATGTATTTGGAAGTATAGTTTACGTGATGTACAACTCCCAAGAAATTTCAAAGTTGGATCCAAAATCCAGGAAATGCAAATTCTTGGGGTATGCTGATAGAGTAAAGGGGTATCGCTTGTGGGATCCCACTGCCCGTAAAGTGATCATCA